TTTGTGACTCGAATGGCTTCAGGATCATGGTTTTATGGCGGACGTTAGAGAACGTCTAAGCTGGAGAGAAGCAACAATTTGGTGGCAAAATTTACGAAGTACTTATGCCTTCGAGATCAAACGTCATCTTAGGAAAACGTAACTAACAAAAAATTATTTGGTACATTTGTCACTTTTAGCTGTCGGCATACAGCACACACTCGCTGTGAGGCATTCTCAGAAAAGTAAAGCAGCCACATTTCTAGCTTTCTGACTTTATGAACCCTGTGAAGCGTGTTTTGTGTCAAAGTTGAAGCGTTAGTGGAGCCTCAGATGTAAACATTGGTGTGACTGCACTGAAGGATATGCTTGCTAATGTTGAAGTTGGTGCGTTTTCTCAGTACGTACGACCAGATTATCTCTGGTTAATGTGTTTTGTTCTAAATGTAATGTTCCTGTCTAGTACTAGGTATATCTGTGAACAGAGTTCCTCTTGTTATGAACATGAGCAAGTCAAGACTTGGTTCAAAACCTCCTGAGAGAAGCTTAAAGTTTACGCCAGACACAAGTCACTCCCAGCTTGGATGCAGTGATCAGTAAGAGGAGCCAGGTATCAGCAAGTACCAGTAAGAGAGACTTCTTACACACTAGTATAAAGCGCTGTATGACTCTCACGGGTTTAGTGCAAAAAACTTCAAAATCTATACCTTGCACTTTTTTTGTAATTATAAAATCTCCGCAGTCGTAAATTATTTTATTTTTATATTTTAACAGTGTTGATGCATAACGAGTAAATCTCACCAACTCTCAAACTGATGGTTTGATCGTCCCCGTCGCTCGCCCTTCAACCCTCTATTCTCTGGGATTTTCATTTGCATCAAATTTGGCGAGATAGAAAACCTGAGTTTGACAGCCCGTGTCTTAAAGCATAGCAACGTTGTAGTGACCACAAGCAGTTTGTTGAGGTGACCTCACTACTGTAGTGTCCACAAGCTTGTTGAGATGAGTTCACTGCTGTAATGATCTCAAACTTGAGGTGACTCCGCTATTGTAGTAATCTCAACCTTGTTGAGGTGACCTCACTACTGTACCGTTCTCAAGCTTGTTGAGGTGACTCTACTACTGTAGTGGACACAAGCTTGTTGAAGTGGCTACACTACTGTAGTGACTTGAAGCTTGCTGAGATGACCTCACTACTGTAATGACCTCAAGCTTCTTGAGGTGACTCCGCTACTGTAGTGATATCAGGCTTTGTTGTGAGGTGACTACACTACTGTAGTATTCTCAAGCTTAAGATGACTCCACTAATGTAGTGATATCAGGCTTGTTGAAGTGACTTCACAACTGTAGTGACCTCATGCTTGAGGTGACTTCGTTACTGTGATAACCACAAGGTTGATGAAAGCACTGCATGGCGCGCACGTGTGTGCGCACACGCATGCCTACACATATTGTGCCTGTATTCGTGTATGCGAGTGTACGTATAAGCATATTTCATTTAGGTGATCTTCAGTGCATGTGTTCTCAGCAATGAGCTAAAAGTTAGTGAAATGTGGTGTTCGATCCCCTTTGAGTTATGTGATGTTTGGTACCCCCTTAGACTCTAACATAACTCTGAGGCTTAGAGTTATGTGATGTTTGATCCCTTTAGAGTTATGTGATGTTTGATCCCCTTAAAGTTATGTGGTGCTTGATCCCGTTAGAATTATGTGGTGTTTGATCTCCTTAGTGGTGTTAAATCCCTTTTGAGTTATGAGTGGAAACTGAAGTGCTTGTAAAGATACTTAAATTATATGATTTTGTAATGTGGACTTATGTTCAGCACCTTTGTTATTACTCCTGGTTATTACACTAATTGACCTTAAAGTCCGTCTTCAAGACAAATTTGATAGCTTTAAACAAGTCCCCTAATTACCGTAGCCTCTTCTTTAGTTTACACATTTTTTGTCGCAGTTGTTTGTACAGAATCTGTATTTTCTTCCCGGTTTATACTGTATCTTATGTTAAAAATATTGTAGTATTTTTTTCTCCAATGAAATATGTTGTACATCTTAAAACTGTCAGTTAAATGGAACATTTAGATAATTAGATGCACGGGACTTCACGGGACTTCATAAATCACATGATTTCAATAAATTTGCACTGCTAACACCACCTTCCTTCAGTAATATAATGTACTGGATTTACTGCAACTGATATTTTTTTAGATAACGAACCATTCACTAGAAGCCGGCTACAGCAAACCCTCAATTCTTTTGTTTGGAGAACATGAAATTCAATCATCAGAGGGTGTTCAGCAGGGTGACCCACTCGCTCCACTTCTCTTCTGCTTGGCAGTAAGAGAACTAACTTCCAGCCTACGCAGCGAGCTCAATATCTGGTACCTGGATGACGGCACTCTGGCAGGTACTGAAGAGTCCCTGGCAGGGGACCTACAACTGGTGAAAACACAGGGAAAAGAATTGGGACTCATTCTCAATCCCTTCAAGTGTGAAATCATCACAGTGAACCAGGAAATAAT